TTGCACCAAGGCTTTAACAGCGATGGGTAGAACTCCCCATCGCTGTTTGGCATGGTTCTGGAAACTGGTTTGGCTGAGGGGCCGCTTACCCATCGATGGGAAGATCTTCCCATCGCTGGGTGGGTGGTTAGTCAAGAACCCATGGTTTTTGCCTTAACCACGGCCTAGCCAACCGATGCGAAACTCGACTGAAAAATTCAAAGTTCTCCAAAATAAAAACCAAGTGTTTAAAACACTTATTTGATGTATTTGGCTAAGAAATCAAGTAAGACACTTTAAAAACCACGTCATTTGAGTGAAAACCACGGCTAGCCAAGTTTATGCCGTTTTGAATGATTTTTGTCAAACAACCAAAAGCGAAAGATGGTTTTCAAGGTGTTTTTGTTGGAGAACCGTTTAAACATGCCAAAGAGTGAAAACCAATCATAAAAAGTTGAAAACCACTTGGTTGGTTCGGACGCCAAAAACTATAGCCGATAACCGAGAGCCGAACGCCGGTTTCTGAAAAACCGAACGCTGGATGGCTTGGTTTTTGGTTTGGGCGAACACCAAGTGTTTTTAATGACTTAAACATGTTTAAAAAACATTTTTATGATTTAAGAAATGCAATGAAAGATTTTAGCCTAAAGAGCCAAGGTGTAAAGATTGGGTCGGTCTTGATCACAATGAAGACCGACTCACGATACTAAAACTAAGGTCTTCGTTCTTGGTCTTCTTTTAGCTCTTGTTCTTGTCTTCCTTCTTCGCCTTGTATATTCAAAGTTTGACTTGATCACGGCGGTTTGGCATTATCAAAACCTGTCATAAGAACAAACACGGCTTTAGTACGAGAACGTGACATGCCCGTGTTTCAACATCAATGAAATTTTATTTTTCACAATCTCATCATGGCCGAATGAATGATATGAGAAGGATTTTCAAAATTCTTCTCCACTTAAATGTTCAAAGTGTATTTTATTTGACACCAAAAATTAATATAAAATTAATTTTTAAATCAAATAAAAATACCAATATCATTTTAAACAAGTATACAAATATACTTTAAATAGTTTATGTCAAAATAATTTTTTTCATAATTAAAATGACAAACCAAAATAAAATATTCAACATATAATATATTTATATATATTTCGGTGTTATTATATATATATATTAAATATATATATAAACCATATATATAATATATATTATACCACATAATATTTTATTTTACTATTTTACAAATATACAAATTACTTATTATCCCATTGTTTAACCCTACTCCTTAAATTGTCCAAAGTGTGTGACCCGTATAGGCACTTATAAAGCTGGCCACAGTATTGGCTCTACACCAATACTATAAACAATAAGCGGTATCTAGCAACACATTATTGCCCCCAGATTATAAGTTAAGACGTTTGCACCGTCAAAACCTTTCCACGACTGAGACTCCGTGTAACTGTATCCCTTTGTCTCAATGTCTAAACTTAATGCAAGGGATTAATAAAATCCAACTTGTATCCATTAAGTCATTCACTGATTTATCAAGTCTGACTAATAGAAACAGACGTCATAAAAGCATCTCAGCATGGCCATGCAATATCCTCAGTCATAACTTATTAGTGGGCCCCATAAGACATTAATCTCTTTAAAAAGAGTAGTGACAAATCCTTTGTACGTAATCTACGTTTCTGAATACGCGCTGCGGCATACCCAAAACAAAGCCTGTATACCATCCTTATTTCATATGGCTTAGGACAATGCATCAAAGTATGCGGGTTCACATATGCAGAAAATGTAATACTTCAAGTCGAAGGATAGTTACACCCGTGGTCGCGCTAAATATGGTTAGAGCATGAACTAAAAGTTCAAGCAACATCTTTAGGATGGGTCAGTCCGGCATCCTATTATCTCTAGATAATTTCTGCCCATGTGCGGATGCGAACACACCGTCATTGACTATGAGACTAAGTCAAACATCCAACACACACTAGTCTCACATGCATTAACGATATCCCACTCTCGTTAATACTCGACTATGGACATTCAGATAAATATTTATTTCAAGATGTTAGTCTCATCAGCAGAATAACACTATCTCATAAACATCTTTAAATATAAATCTAGGAATATAATATTTGTTTATATTAGCATGAGATGTGTAAACATATTATATCTGCCTATACATGATAGAATAACGATAAACAGTTGGCCATCAGGGCACAACTCCAACAAGGTGAACCTGAAGAATGATTCGTGTTGATATATGTTGAACAACATTTGTGAAGCCGGTGTCAAAGATCCTCATCTGGACTCAAGATGATCTAATCGCTGATTCAAACACGAACGTTTAGAAGTAATAAACTCTGTTATCTAAAGTATCCCGTTCTATTGTCTAACTCATTACGACACAATATGCGATTACATTGTGTGAAATCATTCATTAAACGATAATTCCTTACAAAACCTCATTGAAATACCATACAAGGAAATTATTAATTATCCTTAGTATGCATAGGCTGACTGAACGATATTGTTGTTGACAACTCTTGGTGAAGAATTCTTCAACTGAAGACTAGTGATGGTAAACCTCAAAGAGGTGAAAGCAAAGCTGATTTATAAACCAACCGAGTTCGTCTCGAATATATATGCAAAAATGCCTCAACCATAAGAAGCATGAAGTCTATTCTTGTGATACGCGAAAGAAAGATCTGAGCTGAAGAAACGTACTGAAAGTATGTCACCTCTCTGATATGAACTTCCTAATATCTCATCGTTCCGCGAAATTGAATTCTCTGTCAATTTCGTAACTCTGTATTGAACATATTTCCATCAATGACTTCTTGACAAAGACTCATCTGATCAAGTGTTTCCTCCTTGGGAGAATACTACCCGTTTTGTTCATACGCGAATGAAGAAGGATCAATGATACTCTGTATCAACTAATCGTCCATTAAACAAATCATTATCCTTTACCTCGTATCATGACTTATTTGATCAGCTTAGAGGATCCATTGTATTCTCTAAGATTGACTTACGGTCAAGATACTCACAAATCCTTGTTAAGAAACTTGAACAAACTGACGATGGAGAATTGTTATCCTTTACTATGAACTGACGACTTATTCGATCAAATTCAAATAACCTGCTTGTTGGAAGCTATAGACCGCTCAACCTCGTTGAATGAACTGGTGCCTTGTTCTGAAGCGATTAATGACCTAATTGCTTATCATTGAAAACGTCGATGTAGTATGATCGAATAAATGAAGTAAGTGATGCTGACAAAACAAATCATTAAGATAGTTGACTAGTTCGTATACCCAATTGACGTGAAAGATTGCGATGTGGTGACAATACAAAACAAGATGTGAAACAGTGACACCAACACTGAAAGACTGAAGAATGAAGAAAATGTAGCTTGCATATGGCTAACCATTGATGTTTATGAATAATATTATTTCAACACAAAATACGACTTGGATTACATGAATAAAGTTACAAATGCAATTCTAAGTCTAATCTCTCAGGATTTACAAACTCGTCGTAACTAGCCCCAGGACTTGGGAAAGCTTTAGCAAACTCTATTTTGTCTAAGAGTTCATCAATAAAGAAAGAAGAAATGAAAAGTTTTCTCTGACTGGAAGCCATGAAATTCTGCCTCACCGCATCGTCTAGGAATTTGATTAGGTTATTAAAAAAACCGTCAATGTTCAAGAGACCAATGGGCCTATTGTGTAACCCTTCAGAAGCCCACGAAATCAAGGTGAACAAACCTTCCATAGTGTCAACTCCTCCGGGAAGAATGATGAAAGCTTCCACGGCATGATTCATCTTGAAATACTTGTAATAGTTGGTGGAAACTGTATGCTCTACACCGTACGTAGGTCCATAGACACCTCGTGTTGCTATGTACCCAGGAATGAAACCTCTAACGAGACCACCATTGGTAAAGACTCTTGAAGCAACAGCTCCTTGAAGACCAACACTACCTCCTCCATAGGCAAGTTTAATCTTTCGCCTTATCAATTCTCTTCCTAAATCTACCGCAGTAGCCATAAACTTTGGATGTCTACCAAGAGAATGACTGCCAAGTAGACCGACGAATCTTATGGTGTAAGGAAGTGTTCGAGAAGTTCCTTCCATAATGTGAGAATGTGAGATACTCTTATCATAATCGTGACATATATAGTCTCTGAAACTTGGCTCTTGATGGAAAGGTTATTATCGTCAACCGAAATACGTACAGAAAAGTGGATTCGCTTCAATTATCTACACACGGAAGTATAGTCGTCAATACTATAGTCTGCTGACGATATGACGTATTGAGACTCTTGAACAGTTAGATTCGCAGTCCTAAAACACGTTCGAATCCGAGACAAAAAGTCAAAACGGCTATTTCCTAAGACAACGACCTTTTTGAGTGACTTCCAAAGAGTGAAACATTGAAGGATGAAAACCTACGATTAGTGACGATAATTCGCAAACGTTATCTTTGTATCTTGTGACTCACATCCTTGAAATACTCAAACTTGTTGTGTTAGTTACACACTTGAAGTATCACACTTGATCAATCTTGAAAAGATTGAATTCCATTGCTTGTACCAAACTCTTGAACTATGAAAAACTTGCTTTGATTTACGAATCTCCATTAAACTCAAAAAGATGTCTTATGATACCGATCTTCGAAAACTATACGTTGTGAACTACGTGACTTGATCACAATAGTAAAACGACCCTAACTTGAACATTACGTTGAACCTCTCCTTGTGAACCACAAAACAATTGATGTGATTACGTTATCTTTGAAGATTATTATCAATGATCTTATTGACCATACAAACCCCGTTATGACCCTAACAAAGGAATGTATGAGTAACAACCAAAGAAGAAATGACGTCACGAGAACAAGCTGAATCATTCAAGCGAAAATCCCGAACCTATATGTGATGTTGGTGTTAGAACTTGTAAAGATCCCTCACTCTATGAATTCATGAATTGAATCGCGTACCGAAGATATTCTCTTCTTCCCTTGAAACAAGATCAACAATAGTGTTACAATCGAACCTATTGCTATCATATCTAGATATGTTTTCAAAATTGATGAAAGAAATTTGGATGCAACAAGACATACATGAGACGCTACTCGAACGTCATCACCCATGAATACAAAAACTCATTAACGATGATGAAAGCTACCATGAAGTGAATGAAGAAATGTTTCGATGTAAGATCGATGATGACAAGCTACTGTACAATCAACCAACAGTACTTCTTCATAAATGATGACAAATTTCCTATCCTTAGAATCCTGAACCAAGGAAAGCCATTTGATGATACTTATACATCATTGCTGAACTATGTGAACGATGTGAAGATGTTTTGGATGACTTAAAGGACTACGCTATGATTAATGGATTGAAACAAACTCTAAACTCCCAACTATACCTATCGTGAATGTGATGATTTGAAACTGCAATGCTACCAAAAGACCCTCAATCAAAGGAGGAATACTGTTAATCAACGTTATGCAATTGGGAATTGTGTTATGTCCAGTATGTCAAGTTTACAACCCTATACACGGGAACTTTAGTTGATTGATACTGAAGGATCAGTGAATGCTTTGCTTAATTAAAGATTGTTAATCTCTTGAAAAAAGAACGAGTTTGGTAACATCGATAGTTTGAGAATACATATCCGGGTGGATAATGACGTGATTATGATTTAACCAAATGAACATGACACGATAATGATTAAGTGCGATCACAACAAAATGTTGAACGTTGAGCCTTAGAAGAATTTCGAGGACGAAATTCCTTTTAAGGGGGGGGGGAGAAATGTAACGCCCCAAAACATACCCTAGAATTATTAATAGATAATTATTAAAATTAATCAAATTTGTTTTGATTAAAATAAATTGTTGTTGGGCTTTGGGCCGATAAGAAATATGTTTTGATATCCAATATCACAATTAGGATAAATCTCATAGAGATAAATCCAATTTATTGACTATTTGTGTGGTCTTGATTGGGAACCTGATCGAGTACAGACCCAAATCAAGAATAATTGAAGAAATTAATTATGATGTGAACATTAAAATGATTTATTGAAAGAAATCATGAGAATAAGTGATATGAATTAAATTAGAGAGCCTTTTTGGAATGAAGGTCAACTAAATCAATTTTGACTCTGTCAAAGTCAACCACCCAAAAATATGATGTCAGAAAAAGTATTACAAATAAATATAAAAATTACACTGTTGAATAGAGTTCGACTGTCTGACCGCAACGGTACAACCAGAATTCAATTCAGAAAAAGTTGGACTAAAGAGTGTACCCAGACTCGAACCAAAATTGGTCCCAATCAGGGATAATGTACAAAATCCCAGAAGAGGCGCCGCTCCTTCCACTAACGTGAAATCGCCGATTCACTACAGGGATTGTAATGGCCTTTTTCTCCTCTACTCTCATATAAAGGCCAACTCAATCTTCCTCATTTCTTCACCATTCTCCCTAAAATTTCTTTTAAAAGTTAGCCTTGAGTGTAAGGAGTGTTGTGGTGCTGTGAATTTGGTGTGGAATCGCCGGAGCTAAGAGTTATTGTCGCCGGAAGTTTTGCCGGAAAATTTCTAAAAACCTTCGTTAAGCTTCGAGGTAAGCCCGTAGATATATCTAATGACTAGAATGTTCATATAGATCGTTTCTACGTTCATAAACGGTCGTTTGGTTGAGTTTTGTGTTTGGCATGCTTGAAGAATTAAGAATCATAAACCTTGAAATTGTTGTTAAAATTTCGAATTAATGGTATTTAAATGATCTATGAACATTGGAGAACATTTGTATATAGTTTAATTGAAGTTTGGTGGCTAGAAATAATTTTTCGAAAATCTGACTCGAGGTTGAAGAAGAAGCACTGTTTGCTGGTTGGCATGAAAGGCCGACTGTTTTGACAAAAGGTCGACCGTTCTGCCACAAAGGTCGACCGTCCCTCCATGAAGGTCGACCGTTCTGAGACCAGAAACTCCCATACCACTGTTACAATAACGGTCGACCGTAGTGTCAACTACAAAAAATGCTATTTTTGAGTTCTAAAATCCTATTTTTGATACCAATGAATTATGACTAATATAAATATGATCTCTTGGAATAAAAAAATGGTATTTTGACAATAAAAAGGACCTTACATGATGCATGACGGTAAGCTAGGGTGTTAACACTCGAAGCTAGGCCGCTATTTGCTATCGAATGATATGTTGATTGATGATTATGATGAATGATTATTATGATGATTATGACTTGATGAAACCACTAATTAAAATTATTATTGAGGATTAAATTATGAATTGAAATGAATATGTTGATGATCATGAAATGATTTGGATTGTAAGGATATCTAGAAGAACTCTAAGATATACCTTGGTTGACGTTGGTTTCTAGGACTATCTAGAAGGCCTCTAAGATAGCTTAGAAATAGGCCTTGCGGGTATAATTATGAATATTCGGTGGCCTGGGTTAAAACGCACGTACGGGATCTACAAACCAAACTTGAGGCACTCGTTTGGGGATACCACCCAACCCGACAGTGAGCATTCCGCTGTTCGGTTTCTGGATGACCTTAAGCGAAGGTAAGTTTAAGATTTTGAAAACCTCTTTTTGAAAATTTATATCTTAAACTAGGCCTAGCTTAAGGGTTAGTTAAGAGTACCTTAAACTGGAATATAGTTTAACTATATTAAACTAGAATTCGTTTAATAGTTGGTAAACATCAGACAGATTGGCCTTAGACTAAGAATAGTTTAAGGATATTGTTGAATGACTAATGATGAATATTGTATGATGAATGTTGAATAAAAATGTTGAATATGAATGATGAATATACATGTTGAATGATTGAGTAATGAATGTTGAAAATTGAATATTAATTATTGAATATCTGAACTGAACACTATGTGCATGATATCAAATGATTTGATTATGAGTTGAGATTCTGTTTATATGGATGTTCGACGCATTAAATATGCTTACTCAGCTTTACCGCTGAGCGTGTACTATGTTTTATTTGCTACACGCAGGTTAATAGAAAGAATGATGTGACGTGATTCTGGAGGCAGACAGAGGCGAGATTGTCGGAATGGATGTGATGGTTTTGAATTAAAGAACATAAATAAATTATGTTTGTAATTATGATTTGTTAAGCTTCCGCAATATTGAAAACTCCGTACTGTATATGTTAAGAAAAATATTATTGTGATCAATTAAAAGTGTTTGAAAAGTTTTAAATTTTACGATTACCAAGTTAATACTTTAGTCCGGAAGGGGCTACAGACCTGGACGGATTAGGGTGTTACATGAATATACACTGTCCATTCCATATAAAAAATTCACTTTTCATATTAATATGTTCAAAAAATAACAAATTACTTTTTTTAAAAGTGAAACAATAAAGTTTTTCATGGGAGAGTAAGAAGAAATCATGTGTGCTACTCAAATATTTTATTATTCCTAAAAAAGTAAAATAAAATAAAAAAATTCATCGGTTATTCGATCGGTTTGATTTTTTCTTACAAAAAACCAGCCGAAAACCAAAAATACTTTTTACTGAAATCCGAAACCAAACTCTCAGTTAATACGGATCTCGGTCAACGGTTTTACAGTCGGTTTAGAAAAATGCTCACCCCTATGCACAACCCTGAAAAAGATTAACGCCACTAGCCTGACTATCATTCATAAGGTCCACAACCTTACTAGTCCAACTTACTACAGACTTATAGCATCCTACAACACAATCAATATTAAGTTATTTCTGAGTTAATTTTTATGAGGTTGAAAGATATTTTACCTCACACAGTGGATCTTAACCAAACATCATTTGTTGGGAGTAAGGCAGCGTTTCGTTCACCTGATCTGATATGATCTAATTTTTTTGAAATTCTGATCTGATTTGATTAGATCTTTTTTGAGATGATTGGATCTAATATTGTCTGATATGATTTGATATAAATTTGATTTAAATTAAAACTAAAATTATAATAATAATTATAATAATAGAAATAATACTAGAATTATTAATAATAATAGTAATAATAATAATAAATATAATAATAATAATAGAAATGATAATAATAATAATAATAGTAATAGTAATAAATATAGTAATAATAATTATAATAGTAATAATAATTATATTTATAATCATAATACTATAATGCCGGCGGGTCGGAGCGTTTTCCGGCCAACTCCGGCGAAATTGACGGCGGGCACCAACTCCAATGTGGTCGTGGCATCCGGGCGACCTCCAAGGACCCCTCAATTGCAAGATTTGATGACGATTTGCAAAATCCCCCATTTTGGACCCAATTTCGATTTTAGAGTTTTTTCGAGTAGAAAAATTCAGATTCGAGAAGTTACAGGCAAAATTAGACAAAATGGTTTGGATATTATTGATCCTCGTCTCAAGACGAAGAGAATGACATTGGTCCCGCCGAAATCGGAAAAAGTTCATTTTCCGGCGATTTTGACCGGCGGGCGGCGTCGGCGGGGCCTGGAAGAAAAAGAAAAGAAGAAATGGGG